TTTACTACTACTACTACTACTACTACTACTACTACTACTACGACTACTACTACTACTACTACTACTACTACTACTACTACTACTACTACGACTACCACTACTACTACGAATACTGCTACACTGCGACTAGGACTGCATCCGCGACTACTACGACTACTACCAGATGCTCCTCCTCCTCCCCTGGATCCTCCTACTCGATCATCAAGTATGCTCGCTAGAAACACCCCCTCCCCTTTGGTAGGGCGGGCCAGGCATTTCGCCTGAGACTTCCTCAACACGTATGACTCTAAGGGCTAAAATGTGCAACCGTTTCAAGGATAGACGGCAGGTCGTTTTCAAAATGCGGCTCTCGCTGTAGAACAGCGCACAATCTTAAAAGTGTTCAACTGCTTCGAGGGCGGAGGGCGGCTGGTTATCAGAATGCGGGAATCGCTGTAGCGCCTCGCACAATCGTCTCGCAAGTTCCCAACTGCTTTTTAAAAGGGTGAAAGCATCGCCGCGCACATTCCTCCGAGATTCTACATCAGTTCCAAAACTCCCTATGGTTTGACCTCCCAGTGATTGGCTTCTGGCACGGTCGAACGTTGTCAGGACGCAACAGTCACGTTGACTCGCGATGTTGAAGTCCGTGGCACGATCTCAGGGTTGTCAGGAAGCAGCAATCAGGTTGATTCGCGGCTTTGAAATCCCAGGGATGGTGTGCTGGCACGGCTAAGAATTCTCAAAGGGCTTTCTTCCAAAACAAATTCTTGCGGGGACCCATGAAGAGGGAAGTTGGAGGGAGGGTTAATTGCAAAATCGTTGATGTGTCTTGGGTTCCCGCTGGTCATCATCCTCATCCTCCTACGTTTCCTCCTCGGCCCTCTTCCCTCCCCACTCCCGCGATGCCGTTGGCCAGCAAGGTCCTGCGAGTGCTGCTCCTGTTTGCCCTGGAGCACGAGGGAGCCGGCAGGCGCGCCTGCACTCAAGGAGGAAGCAGGCGTGGCCAGGAGAAGGACGCGGGGAGGAGGAGGCGGCAGAGGAAGCGAAACGATAGAGGAGGAGGAGGAGGAGGAGGAGGAGGAGGAGGAAGGTCCACGGCTCCAGCTGTCACAACGATCGCTAAAGAAATCCACCTTCCCGAAGGGGATAATGCTAGGAGGAAGAGGAAGAGAAGGCAAGGAGGAAAAGGAGGCGGAAGAGCAGCAGGACAAAAGCGGAAGCAGAGGAAGGGGAGGAGGAAGAAGAGGAGGCGGCTAGGGCTCTACCCCCTGTGAGGCCAGGGATTGGGGTTGGCCGAGGGTGGCGACGGAAAAATGGAGAGCGAAAAAGAGGAAGGACAAGCTAGGTACGCTCGCGCCTCATCTGAACATCATTTCCCTTCCTCCCATCCCTCCCTTCCCATGGCACTGATATTTCATGATCCGCAGACGCGCATCATTTCCGACCTGCGACTCTCAAAGAAAGACCACTTAGTGATCTGCGCAATCGGATGAAAGGGAGTCGCGTGCACATGAGGAGGTGACGGGTGAGCAGGAGGATGAGCGAGCGAAAAAGGATGAGGACGAACAGCAGCAGCAGCAGCAGGAACTGAAGCGGAAAGATAAGGAAGAACAGGATGACCAGGGGAAAGCGTAGGAGGGGAACTGAGGGGGGCGACAACGATGAAGAAACACTCGGAGTCAGGAAAGTTGCCCTCGCTGGGGCGAGATCAACAGCAGCAGCAGAAACTAGAGTAGAAGGAGCGGGAGGAACAGGAGGACCAGGGTAACGCGGAGGAAGGGAAAAGACGGGGGAACCACAAGGAAGCTAGATTCAGATCTGGAAAAGTGGCCCGCGCTGGGGCGGGAGCGAAGCGCCGATCCGAAAACGAGGCTCATGCTGCAGCGGGAGCATCACTTTGAAATACGGAAAACAATCAGGTTGCTTTCCCAAACACATAAGAATTAGCCTGGCGAAGGACCCGACCATACGCAGCTGTGAGCACCGCAGTCGTGAGTATGATCATCGGAGGCGCTCCCTATGGGGCCACGAAACGTGTGAAAGGTGTGCCGAGATAGGTGTGGCGGACGCATGTGGACGGTGCCCCTGGGGCCTTCCGTGGAGCTCCCTATGAGACCACGAAAATCGTGAGGGGTGTGCCGAAATGGGTTTGGCGGACGCATGTGGACGGTGGCACTGGGGCCTTGGGTGGAGTTCCCTATGGCTCCACGGAAACATGTGAGGGGTGTGCCGACATGGATGTGGCGGACGCCCGTGGGCGGTGCCAAAGGAGGCCTTGCGTGGAACTCCCTATACGGCCACGAATCGTGTGAGGGGTGTGCCGACATGGGTGTGGCGGACGCATGTCGCTGGTGCCGCTGTGGCCTGTGGTGGGGCTCCCTATGGGGCCACGAAACATGTTGAGTGGTGTTCTGAAATGTGTGTGGCGGACGCATGTGGACGTCGCCACTGGTGCCTTCGGTGAAGCTCCCTGTGGGACCACGAAACGTGTGAGGAGTGTGCCGAAACGGTTGTAGCGGACGCATGTGGACGGTGCTACTGGGGCCTGGGTGGGGCTCCCTATGGGGCCACGAAAACGTGTGAGGGGTGTGCCGACATGGGTTTGGCGGACGCATGTGGACGGTACCGCTGAGGCCTTCTGTGAAGCTCCCTATGGGGCCACGAAACACGTGAGCGGTGTGCTGGAATGGGTGTGTCGGACGCATGTGTGCCGCTGGGGCCTGCGGTGGAGCTCCCTATGAGGCCACGAAAATCGTGAGGGGTTTGCTGAAATGGGTGTGGCGGGCACATGTGGACGGTGGCACTGGGGCCTTGGGTGGAGTTCCCACTGGGGCCACGAAACGTGTGAGGGGTGTGCCGAAATGAGTGTGGCGGACGCATGTGGACGGTGCCCTGGGGCCTTAGGTCGAGTTCCCTATGGGGCCACGAAAACGTGTGAGGGGTGTGCCGAAATGAGTGTGGCGGACGCATATGGACGGTGCCGCTGGGGCCTGGGGTGGGGCTCCCTGGGGCCACGGAACGTGCGAGGGGTGTGCCGACGGTGGAGTTTTGTTTCATCCAATTTTGTTTCATCCGCTTTTATTCCGTCCGCTTTTGTTCCGTCCGCTGTTGTTTCATCCGCTTTTGTTTCATCCGCTGTTGTTTCGTCCGTCTTTTGTTTAGTCCGCTTTTGTTTCATCCGCTTGTGTTTCGTCCGCTTTTGTTTCGTCCGCTGTTGTTTCATCCGCTTTTATCTCGTCCGCTTCGGTTTCGTCCGCTCTGTTTTGCATGATTCGTGTGGAAGCTGGGGGATGACAACCAGATGAATATAAACTGGACGAAATAAAACAGGATGAATTTAAACCGGACGAATTAAAACAGGGTGAGTTCAAACCGGACGATATAAAACCGGATGACTTCAAACGGGAATATTAAAAAAAGGATGAATTGAAACCGGGCGAATTAACACCACATGAATTTAAACGGATGGTTTAAAACCGGATGAATTTAAACCGGACGCATTGAAACCGGGTGAATTTCAACCTGACGCGTAAAAATACATGGATCCAGCTCTGGGCAACCATGTGAGATACCCCCTGGGTGGCCTGGACACGTAAAAACACATTGTGTTGGCTCGGGACAACCATGTTAGATACACCCGTGGGTGGCCTGGACACCTTAATACCATGGTCCTTGCTCGGGACAACCATGTTAGATACCCCCTGGGTGGCCTGGACACGTAAAAACACATGGTGCCAGCTTGGGACAACCATGTTAGATACACCCCTGAGTGGCCTGGACACGTTAAAACACGCGGTCCTTGCTCGGGACAATCATGTTAGATACCCCTCTGGGTGGCCTGGACACGTAAAAAAACACGTGGCTCCAGTTCTTGGATATCATGTTCCATCGGCGCCCACGCCACCAGGACGTTCAGAAACAAGCCTGTGGAGAGCCCCACCCCCTGTAGCAATGCAACAGCCTGGTCTCGCAATGTTCCAGAAACAAGCGTGGCAGCTCATGATTATTACAGCATGCAAGGGGCGCGCAGCCTCCCCTCCGACCCAAAACAAGCAAGCGAGGTAGGAGGGATATGGAAGGATGAGAGGTAAGCAACGAAAAAAAAAACCTCTTTCCTGGACACGGTTTCGAACGCATCCAGCCTTCGACCGAAGCGCGAAACAGGCCCAACCTACCGCGGAAGCAGCAACAACGCCTTTTATCCCGAGGGCGCTGCTGCACGACGTGGCCCGTCGAACGCTCCAACTCCGGGCGAGGCGCCAGCCCCTCCTTGGGGGCGCTGGCCGGGCCCGAGGCGCCCATACCTTTCACGGGGGAAGCGAATGAACCTCTGCCGGAACTGCTGCACGACGGCTATGGACGCCCAGCAGAAGACTGCCACACTCGAAGGCGAGGTCGCCGGGCAGGTCTACGAAGTCGAACGCAGCACCCCGCCCTGCCCAAGCGACCCTGATGTTTGCCCCATGTGCCGAAGGATCGAGGCAGGCCCACATCGCAACGACGCGGCCCCCCTGGATCTCGTTGAATCGAGCAAGCATAGGTACTGCTTCTGGGAGGTGCACGTTGTAAACCTGTAGACCTACCCGCCAGAACGGCTCCATGGTGGGGTCCCGCGCCATGGGGTCCGCGGCTTTCCGTTCCAAATCCTGGGCACCGCAAATTCAATCACGGCCGATATCATTGCTTTCCGAGCACTGGTAAAAACGCTAGAGCAGGTCTGCGTTCGGCGCTCCGCATCTCGGGCGCCCCGCGCACGGGAGTAGCCCGCCATGCACGTGCGCCGAGCCGCCCAGCAGGCCCCCGCCATGGCGCCCTCCAGACAGCCAGCTTACTTGAAGATTTTCCAACGGCCTCATCCATCGCGACGCTTTCTGAACTGGCTGTAAGCGGGCTCTGTGCCCCAAGCCCCTGCCCTCAGCATGTAACACTCGCTCTCCACTAAAGGCCAGCCTCGACGTTGGCATGGTTGGCCTCGTAGAGGGGGGCGACGTCATCGTCTCTGGGGTCGCACTGCCACTGGCCGCCGCCATTGTTTGTCCAGCACGCTGGGAACTAGGGGTTCCATCCGAACTCCCGCGTCGCAACGATCAAAGCCCCCGCCGGGCCAGCGCACGGCTGCCACAGAGCTCTGGACGCTGGAACTGCTGATCCTGCGGCGCGCCGCTTGCGACTTTCATGCGGGCATGGCCCTGCGGCTGCCGCTGCCTGAAGTGCACACTATTCACGAACTTGGTGACTTATGTCGTTCGAGACGGGGCCCTGCCCGTCGTAGGTGCGGACCATCATGGTGGACGCGCACCGTCCTCCAACTGAGAAGACAGCACGAACGGCTGCCGTGGCTCTCTCGTGATGAGCGCGCGTAGCAGGCAACCCCATGATGGCCGCGCCGTGGATCCTCTTGGCTCGCAGGCCGACGGTGCACAAGCGTGCCGTGACTTTCCTGCCCACTCTTCGTCTGTGAAAATCTTAGAACGTTCAGCCCTCTTGGCTGTGGCTGCAGCCTTCTCGTCAGCTGTCTGTCTCCGTCTTGCTCACCGAACCGTCGCGTCCGAACCCAAATCGCCGGTGGTGAATCTCGCTGTAATGTGGACGCCGCACTTGGCTGTAAAGCCGATGGCGGCCTGCTGCTCCGAGGAGCAGCCCACGATGAAGGTCTCCACTGAGACCATGATGCCCAAGGCGTGGAACCTGTGGTCAAGTCCCCGAGGCGCGCTCCATCTGGTGCCTGACGAAGGATTTGTGGCCATCGCCTCGCGCGACCCGGTGGAGGATGAACTGCCTGAGCATGAGGCCGAAGCAGTGGTTGTGGATATCGTCGAGGAGGTCGAATTGGCAGGCGCGGGCCAGCCCGTTGGCCGCGATGCAGCCTGCCAACACGCCGTCGGCGAGCACGGGGACGTCCGAACTGGGCACGTCTCGCACTCGGATAGCCCTCGGGCGGAGGTTGAGCAGGCAAGACATGTAGAGCACCACTAGCGGGTACCTCAATTAGGGGGCTACGACGCTGAGGATTGGCAATGCTCACGTGGTCGTAAAAGTTGAGAATGTCTGGGTAGAGGCCTCACACGTCGGTGTTTTCCCTGGCTGCCGCCGTCTCGTCGAGACCCATGGTGGTCAAGGCTGCCTGGGGGAATGATGACCCTTCGATGGCCTTGTCCCAGAAGTCCACCTGCTCTTCGCACCACTCGCCAAGGGCGCTTTAATTGACTCGCCCCCATACTCGCGCGGGCATGGGAAGCAGTCCGATGGGTCTCTCGTCGCTCGAGGTGATGGCGTCGCCTTTGGCCAGCAAGCAGATCCACACCGCCAGTGGGGGTAGGTACTCTCTGGGCCGAAACCTGAGCAGGGCTTGCCACCTGGCCAGCCACAGCAAAACGCGGCGACATCTCGCCAGCAGGGGAAAGCACTCTCGGGGCCTCAGCCTGAGGTGTGTGTTGCCACCACGCTGGCTCGAGCAGAGCACGGTGACTCGCAGTGATCGCTGTCTTCGCCTACGACCATGAAGGTCGTCGCGGTGCGCGCACGTTCTCCTCGCAGGTTTCGATCGAGTGGGGCATGCTCCACCCACGAGGACATCGCGGGAAGTGAAAGACGAGCTCACGCACACCGTCATCAGCAGGGGCATCAATATTTGCCTCATCTGGCGGGGTCGGATAAGGGCCATCTACCGTCGTCGTAGTCATCGTCGACATTGTGGTGCTGCGTCCCGTCACCTTCACTAGGACCTGCAGCTGGCTGACAAGGCTGATCCACGAGAGTCGGAGGAAGAAGGGGAGAGGCAGGAGGAGGAGGAAGAGGAGGAGGAGCGCACGTAGCTTGAATCCACGGTGACTCAGCTACCGCCAAGGCCCTAGCATCGCATCGCCACGAGGGCTGCGGCTCGTATTTCGTAATGGTAGGTGGGCGTGGCCGCTCTTGGCCTGCCCGCAAGGTCAGTCTTCAATTTGCGGTAAATATGGAAGCTCAGCACTACGATCTGATGGCAGCGCTGGCGGGGATACTCGGATTCATAGTCTGGTATTAAACCAGGCCCCAGACGTGTGACAGGACAGGCAGGGAGGACGCCACGAGGGATAGCAAGAAGGTGGAGGAGACGAGGACAAACAAGGTAATGCTGAAAGGAGTCAGGGGGTTGGCATCCAAGCAAACACTGACTCTCCGCAGCGCTCGGGATGCGTGCGGCCGTTGTCCATCCGCCAGACAATGAGGAAGAACATGATGGGGAGGACGATGAGGAACAAGGACGACGAGGAGGACGAAGGAAGAAGGACGAGGACGAGGAGGAGGAAGAACATGAGAAGGAGGACGATGAGGACGACCCGGGGACCCGATGTCGCGATAAAAATCGCAACATCGAAAAAACCAGAAACCAGCACCGTACGACCCCAACATTCTGCGGCATTTCTGAAGCCGGATCGATCCGTGGGGGCCGTGGGTTCCGAATCCAGACGGAAACGCGAACAAAAGACGAAGCCCAGAGCTCAGAGGAACAGATCGGTCTCCCCGGACCCCCTTCCCAGGGTCCACCCTGTGCAGTTTCTCGCCCCGCCCCTTGAATTTCCGACGGCCTCGCAGCCCGAAGCGGGCCCCCAGACGCCGAAGACTGCGAGCAGAAACGCTCCAGCCGACTCCGTTTCAGAGCGGGGCCCTCGCCACGTGGCAGGCCCAACTGCACTGATCTTTTATGGGGGGGGCGCCTGCTGTGGAGAAAGGCAAAACTTATAGTGGCGCGTGGGGAGGGGACTTGGGGACGGGAGGGTTTACTGCAGCCTCGCCGATGCATCTCCGGTTTACGCAAGTCTCCTCGTCAGCCCTGTAGCCCTTTTCCTCCTCCTCCTCCTCCTCCTCCTCCTCCTCCTCCTCCTCCTCCTCCTCCTCCTCCTCCTCGTCCTCCTCCTCCTCGTCGTCCTCCTCCTCCTCCTCCTGCTCCTCGTCCTCCTCCTCCTCCTGCTCCTCGTCCTCGTCCTCGTCCTCGTCCTCCTCCTCCTCGCCGTCGACGACGCCGACGCGCAGGCGCCTCGGGGACCCTTCGGCTCAGCGCCTCGCCATGGCGATGCCGCGGCGGCGGCCGCCAGCAGGCCTACGGCCGCCAGCGCCGCCGCCACCGCGGAGCAGCCGCGCCCAGACAGGGCGCGGAGCCCCCTGGCGCGAATCAGCGGGAGGCCCCCCGCCCTCCTCGTCCTCCTGCGCCTCCCCTGCGCCGTCTGCTCCTCCTGCTCCTCCTCGTGGCTCGTGGCTGCGGACGGTTCTGCTCCTGCTGGCGCCCTCGACCCTTCCCCCTGGCCAACGCCAGGGGGAGGGTAAGAATTTACCCGATGAAGTACCCAACCCTCTCTAAACATATGGCGAATATACCAAGCCCAGGACCGCCCACTACAAACGAACATATTGAAGGACCCGCAGTGCGCATGAGCACCCAGAAGTGAAATCAGAACAGCACGGCAGCGGGAGTACGGGAGCAACGGCTGGCTCGGCGTACGCACACATCCACTCCGCTGGACCTCCCAGGAACCCATGGAAGTGGCGACAGCTGCGCACTGCCCTGGCCCCCAGTGAGCCGCGAGGTCTCGGCCAGGTCTGCGTGGCACCCCACTCCGCCCCGCTTGCCAGGAGCCCACGAAAAAGGCGGCTGTTGCGCAATTGCCAGCCCGATGGGGGGCCGCGAGGTCTCGGCGAGGTGCGCGTGACACCCCACTCCGCCCTGCCTCGCAGGTGCCCAGCCCCCAGGAAGCAGCGAGATCTCGGCTGGGTCCGCTTGCCCCCTACTCCGCTGGATCTCCCCGGAGCTCACGAAAGTGGCGACAACTACGTACGCCATTCGCAGCCCCTCAGGGAGCCGCGAGGTCTCGACGGGGTCGGCGTGACGACCGACTGCACTGGACCTCCCGGGAGCCCACGAAAGTGGCGACACCTGCGCACTTCGAAGCCCCATCGGGGAGCGGCGAGGTTCCAACTGGATCCCGGTACATCTCCACGCCGCGGGACCTCCCAGGAGCCCACGAAAGTGGCGACAGCTGCGCACTTCGCAGCCCCCCAGGGGACCGCGAGGTCCCAACTGGATCCCTGTCCCCCCACTCCAGGGGGGGGAAGCATCCCAGGAGCCCACGGAAGTGGCAACAGCTGCGCACTTCGCAGCCCCACAAGGAGCCGCGAGGCCCCAACTGCATCACAGTGTCCCCCCACTGAGCGGAACCTCCCAGGAGCCCACGAAAGTGGCAACAATTGCGCACTCCGCAGCCCCCCAGGGAGCCGCGAGGTCACGACTGGATCCCAGCGGGACCCCCCAGGAGCCCACGAAAGTGGCGACGGTTGCGCACTTCGAAGCCCCCCAGGCAGCCGCGAGATCCCAACTGGATCCCCGTGTACCGCCACTCCACGAGACATCCCAGGAGCCCACGAAAGTGGCGACAACTGCGCAATTCCCAGCCACTCCAGGGAGCCGCGAGGTCCCAACTGGATCCCCGTGTCCCCCCACCCCGCGGGGCCCCTCAAAAGCCAACGAAAGTGGCTACAGCTGCGCACTTCACAGCACCCCAAGGAGCCGCAAGGTCCCAACTGGATCCCCGCGCCCCCCACTCAGCGGAACCTCCCAGGAGCCCACCAAAGTGGTGACTGCTGCGCACTTCGCAGCCCCCCAGGGAGCCGCGCAGTTCCAATTGCATCCGTGCAACTCCACGCCGCGGGACCTCCGGGAGCCCACGAAAGTGGCGACGGTCTCACAATTCGCAGGCCCACAGGGAGCTGCGAGGTCCCAACTGGATCCCCGTGTTCCCCCACTCCGCAGGACCTCCCAAGAGCCCACGAAAAGGGCGACGGTTGCGCACTTCGCAACCCCCCAAGGAGCAGCGAGGTCCCAACTGGATCCCGTGTACCCCCACTCCGCGGGACCTTCTTCACCCGGAATAGTGTCTTCACAGGGAATATACGTCTTCACCGGAAATAGCGCTTTCACAGGGAATAGCGTCTTCATGAGGGAAATGCTGTCTGTGTCCAGAGAACGCGTCTTCACAGGGAAAAGCGTCTTCACCGGGAATAGCGTCTTCACCCGGAATGGAGTCTTCACTGGGAATAGCGTCTTCACCCGGAATAGCGTCTTCACCCGGAATAGCGTCTTCACCGTCTTCACCGGGAACAGCGCCTTCAAAACGAATAGCGTCTTCACAGGGACGCGTCGTCACATGGAATAGCATCTTCAAATAGCGTATTCGGCGCTGTCTCGAACTGGGAAACCCGGTTGCCGAGGCAATGTATCAACGTATATATATATATACACACATACAGTAATTATACATGTGCATGTGCCTAAATAAATACATAAACATACACACCCACATACACATACATATGCATTTACATATTTCCACAAATATGCATAGCCATATGCATAATCATACACATGCGCATTAACATGAAAAATCGCATACACTTACATTTACGTGTACGTACAGACCTACGTATGCATATGCATATACATATGCTTATGCATCTGGGTATACATATACAATCCAATATACACATGCATGCATCTTTCCTTACACAAATACAAGTACAGATGTAGAAACACATGCATATGCATACGCACATGCATGGGCAAATTCAAACACCTACACCGATGTGTGGCTACGCACTTTTAAGTATGCACATACATGCGCAAATAGACACACAACTACACACATGCATATGCATACGCATAAGCATACTAATGTACTTGTAATTTGGATACGCACATATGTATATATGTATACGAACGTCTATACAAACTCAAATTCCGCTGAAGGTGCATAACTGTATCCATATACAGATATACATATGCATGTGTAAACGAACATACGTATGCCTAAACATATACATACATGTATGTGCAAACAAATACATATACGTCAAGCAACGTAAACGTATACAGATGCATGTGCACTTACATATACGCCTCCATAGGCATGCACAGTGGCAGACGCATGTATATATGCATTGTTATATATACACACATATACATATACGACTCTGTCGGCATGCAAGCAGACACAGACATACAACGAGATCGATGCATACACATATGCATCTACATATACATATGATTATGGATACGCGAACATACACACATACGCATACATATACATACGCACGTGTATACGCATACACCTATACATATAATTACACATTTACAGGTACGCGTTCATATGCATATGCACTTACATCAACCAAACCCTACGAAAGAATATATATATATATATGCATGCATGCATGCATACATACATGGACACAGACATACGTACAGTTGTTCACGTTGATATGTGTATATGAATGTACAGAGAGAGAGCAGTTTCCCAGAGCAAAGTTTTGTACTCCAAAAACAAAGTTTCAAATCTCGAGAACCAATCATATTAAAAGGGAAACAGCCCCCTCGCCTCAGGCGCCTGCGGGGCACCAGGGGCTCCGCGTCTGGCTGGCCTGGGTAGTCGCTCACCGCCTCGAACTCCTTCAACAGGCTGCGCGGCACCGGGCTTTCGGCGCCGTCCTCCTAAGGGCACTGAGAATACCGCGGTATCGCGTTGTGTCGACCCCGGCAGGCGTTGATTCCTGACACCGCGGGGCCGTTCAACCTGAAACGATCGGGCGTTTCCGAATCGTCAGATCGTGAAACATCGACCGACTCTGGGTCCCCGGCGGCACCCAAGGTTGAACGCCAGCGACGGGGTCGCCGCCGGTCGATACAACACGAACCTGTCGCATCAGTCTCAGATCTCCGACGTTGTGCCCTTGTCGATCCTTCCGTTTTTCCCCCATCTCGGCCTCCAGGGCCCTGCTTCGCGCCCCGGAGGAGAGGGAAGAGGAGCGAGCCGGTTGAAGGAGGACATGCCCGATCAGACTCCACGATCCGCCTGTAGGAGGACATGCCCGACCAGACTCCAGTCAGTCTGCGCGCATTCGCAACAGGCATTTTCAGAACAGTCTGCGCCCGCGCTCTTGCGGAGCAAGCCGGTTGACGGCGGAGGGACGAGTGAGCAGGAGGGAAGCGGAGGAGGAAGGAAGAGAGGAGCGCGGGGAGGAGGGAGAGGAGGAGGAGGAGGAGGAGAAACAGGAGGAGCAGGAGGAGGAGGTAGGAGGGGCAGGAACGAAGAATTGCACCCTGGGAGAGTGGCCGAGGAGGCCTCGGGAGCCCGCCGGGGGCGGGAAGCAAAGCAACAGCCACTAACCGAACGGACGAAGCAAAACAAATAGGTGCCGCCTGCAGAAGGGCAGAGTTTCGGAATCGGGGGGCCGTCCTCTGGTTCTGGGACAATCAAAAATTTATCCGAGACGAAAAACTGCTCCTGGAGAAAGGAATCGGGACTTCTGGGGCCGTGGAATGTAAAAACACATCGGCGGATGTCTAGGACGTCAGGATGGAGGACGCCTGGCTCAAACCAAGCCGCATCGCCGATGCTTCGGAAATGCGGCGCGATCCTCCTCATCCTCCTCCTCCACCTCCTCCTCTTCGTCATCATCATTATCATCACCACAATCACCACCACCATCACCACCATCACCAACCACCACCACGACCAGCACCAGCACCACCACCACCAACACCACCACCACCACCATCATCATCATCATCATCATCATCATCATCATCATCATCATCATCATCATCATCATCATCATCATCATAATCATCATAATCATCATCATCATCATCATCATCATCATCATCGTCGTCGTCGTCGTCGTCATCATTATCATCATCGTCATCATCATCGCCATCATCATATCATCATCAGCAGCATCACCATCACCACCATCATCATCACCATCATCAGCAGCAGCATCAGCATCATCAGCATCATCAGCATCATCAGCATCATCATCATCATCAGCATCATCATCATTATCATCATCATCATCGTCAGCATGATCATGATCATCATCATCATCATCATCATCATCATCATCATCATCATCATCATCATCATCATCATCATCCCTCCTGCTCCTCCACCCCTATTTCCCCCAGCAGTGTTTGCACTTTAGGGTTTCCTACTAGGGTTTTGACAAAAGCTGGCTGCGTGTGTCGCCCCAGCCGGTTTGTGGTCGCCCCGTCGCCGCCCCGTCGCTGCTCACCGCCGCCCGTCGCCGCCTCGTCACCGCTCGTCGCCGCCGCAAGTGGGCTGGCTCGTCGCCCAGGTCGACCCGTGGTCGCCCCGTCGCCGCCCCGTCGCCGCTCGTTGCCGCCCATCGCCACCTCGTCGCCGCCTCGTCGCCGCCTGTAGCCTCCGCAACTGGGCCAGCGTGTGTTGCCCCAGCTGGCGTGTGGTCGCCCCGTCGCCATCCCGTCCCCGCTCGTCGCTGCCTCGTCGCCGCTCCTCGCCGCAGCCTCGTCGCCGCACCAGCTAGATTGCACGACGTGGCTTCCAGGATTGCAGCACCAGGTAGACTGCACCACATAGCCTACACCGCATAGATTGCACCACGCACCTTCCACCACACAGGTTGCACAACACAGAGTGCACGGCATAGAGATTGCATCGCAAAGTTTCGACCATCTAGATTGCACCACGTGGTTGCACCATACAGATTGCTACACATCGATTACACCACATAGCCTATTCCACATAGATTGCACCACATTGCTTACACTACAGGTGGGCAAATACGTACACAATTATTACATTTATGTGTGTATATATACACTAATTCAATCGGCTCCCTGTTTACAAGAAAACTTACCTGACACAACTCCAGGTTCGTCTGGTGAGCCTAATTCGCGAGCGCCCCAGGAGGGCTCAAGACGGCCCCAGGTGGCCCCAAGACGGCCCGGGAGGCCCCAAACGGGCTCCCTAGATGGCCCAAAGGGGACCGATGACGACTCCCAAGAGGCCCCTGAGGGGCACAAACTAAAGGTTTTCCTGTGATACCTGAGCCGTCATGTGACCGAACAACGAAAACGTATCACTATCTCTAAAACGGATGTCCGCAAGAGGCCTCAAACCTGACACTCGAAGGGCTAAACATCCTTGGTACAAGTGAAATGGTGCCGTGAAGCCCTCGAATGGATGACCGTATAAGGGCAATGCTAACTGTGGGAAGCCATGCGCCACACTGCACAAAAAAAACATCGTGAAACGAACCGCACTGATCCCTGCTTTCCGAAAGGTCGAACGACCACCCAGAATTTGCCAAGGAAGCACCCAAGGCGCATTCAAAATCATGGGCACATACATACATACACATACACATACACATACACATACACCTACACATACACATACACATACACATACACATACACATACATACATGCATGCATACATATACAGTTCCATCTACATACATATACACATATACATAAACCCACACATATACACACACACATACATAAATATATACATATATATACACATACCGTTACAAGTACATGTGTATAGATACACACGTACGAAAATGCAGGTGTGTATGCAGATGTGCATGTATATGCATGTGTATATGAATATGTGCATGTAAATGTATATGTATATGTATAAGAACATGTATATGCTGTGCACGTGCTTATGTATATGTATATGTATATGCATATGTAAAGGTGCGTACGTATGTAAATGTATGCATATATATATACATACATACATATATGTGTGTATATGTATGATATGTAGAGTATAGTACGTGTTTATGTGTATACGGCTGTGCAAATGACAATGTGTATATAGTCCTATAACTATAAATGTGTACATATATACGTACATAGTGACATGCATGTTTACAGATGTACATACATATGGACATCCATACATGCAAACATACATACATGCATACGCGCATACAGGCATACAAGCATACATACATGATTACATACATATAAAAAAGTATATAGATATAGATGCATACAAATATGTATATAAATGTATATATGCACACCTGTGAATGTTCATATACATTCATACAGACATACATACAAACAGAAACCAATGCACATACCCATACAAGTACAAGTACACATACACAGGCAAATACAAATACCGAAATGTAAAATGTATACAAATGCATGGGCATGGATAAACACATCGACAAGTACATATATAAGAGTGACGGGGCCGAACGGTCATTCATTGTTCTTGGGTGCGTGGCTGAAATGCGGATCCCTGGTGAGGACTCTGCTTGTTGTTGATGTTGTTGTTGTCGTCGTCCCCCCCGCGACCCGGGCGGCGACCCACCCGCGACCCACCTCGCGACCCACCCGCGACCAACCCCGTGACCCAACCGCGACCCACCCGCGACCCACCCCGCGACCCGCTCGCGACCCACCAGCGACCCACCCGCGACCCACCCGCGACCCGGCCAGGGACCCACCCGCGACCCACCGTCAGCCCGACCGCGACCCACCTGCGACCCAACCCGCGACACACCTACATTGTTTTGACAGAAAATCGGCGCCTGCGGCGGGCTCGTTGTATAGTTTGAAAAATGTTGCGCCTGCGGCGGGCTTCTTGAAAGCCTTGCAAATTGCCGAAGTCCTCGCAATCCCCTCAGTCTTATCCGCAACGCCGAGTGCTACGTACATGTACATTTGTATACGATGATATCTGTATATGTATACACACATACATACATACATACATACATACATACATATGTATAGATAATCAATTGCCCGAACATATACATATATACACACACTGAAATATATACACACATACAAGCACATATCCGCACCCATGTGCATACATGTGTATACATATACACAAGCATAGACATGCACACACAGACTACTCAGATGTATCATCTGGCACAAATAAATATACGCATGCAGCTGCGTAAACATATACATATACAGATCCGCACGCATATACATATACGAATACACGTACATATAAATATGGCACGGAATACATCGACCTACACTTGTACACGTGCAAATGCATACGCATTTACATGCAAGGAATGCTGGCAGGCCCGACGAGCTAAGCCCTTGCGGACGGGGGATGGCGGTTGTGCGCGCAGCCCCGATGGCCAGCCGGCAATTCGCATGAAGCACGCAACTAAACTGAGGCACAACTCCGTTAATACAACACATGGATGAGGGAAGCATGAGAACGACAAGCTCGCACGCGCAAGAGGCCTCGAATTGGCGACGCACACAAGGGCCCACGCGAACGAACTAGAAAGCAAGATCTGGATATCTGGTCGCTGAAGGGCGCGCGCAACAGGGGCAAAAAGGACAAAGTTCGCCCACCTGCGGCTTTGGCGGCCGAGCCAAAATTAGTTTGGCGAAGGACCCAACCACACGCAGCTGCGAGAGCCGCATCTGTGAATATCGTCTTCGGTGGAGATCCTTTCGGGGGCGCGAACCGCGCGAGGGCTGTGCCAACATAGAATGGCGGCGGCACGCGGGCGCTGCCACTGGGGCCTTCGGTGGAACTCCCTGCAAAGCCTTCGGCGTGGCTCCCTCTATCCGTCATCTGTAAAATGCGGAGTACCGAGAACAGCTAGACCGCCCAAGATTGTCCGCCCCCTTTTTTTTTATCCTCTGCGGCCGCG